GATAAACTTTTTGAGTGAATAAACATGTCAACAGCATCAGATAGCAAACCTGTTAAAATGTTCAATGAGCAGAGTGAGTAGTGGTGGCTGTCTTCTTAAAATCGATCTTGTCGACTTTAACCTCTCCGTCAATGAGTTCATAGACATAGACCACGACGCGTAGCCCGTCGATATCCATCAGGACAAAGCTTGGGTTGACGTCATAAGTGATGCTGCTATATGCGCCGGTAGCAGATCCCGGGTTTATAACAACCCCACCTTCATGTTTGTATGCGGTAAACTGGTGGGTGTGACCTGTCACGAGTATGTCTACATCCAGCTGTCTCTGTAGCATGGCTAAGGAATCTAGGTCACCCCAGGGAATAACCTTGATGCATCAAGCCGCATTAAGAGTGATTAGTGTCGTCTGAAATGTACGTATCAACATAGGTTTGGAGATATAACCCTCCATGGATCCTTCAAATACATGAGAAAACTAGAAAAAAATGAGCATATTCAATGTAGGACACATTCCCATATCCAATACTTAACTCTTGAGACCGAGTAACATAGGTGTAGGTCATCATTAGCATGAATTCACATATTTTTCACAGTAGCGGGAGACGAATGCTTCATTATAAAATTTATAGAAGCCAAATTTATGGCAACCTAATTACGGATTTAAAGTGCAAAGTTATACACCATTGGAAAGATGAAAAAACCATACAAGGTACAGGAGTTCCATACCTGATGACCATGGCACAAACCCAACTTGAATTGTCCAATAGTTAGCATCTTGGTCTCGGGATATCTTGTTTCTTCATCGTATTCACCTCTGGTAATATGCAAGTCAGGGCAAAGAGTCTTCAAGTAATCTTGAACCTCCTGAAATTTTAGTCCGAATTTGCTTAGCCATTGGTAATTATAATAAGAGAAAGACAGCTTAAAACCTTAAGTCATTAACTCTGTACTATTCTGCCACTGGACAGCAAAACATTATAACTACTTAATGCTATGTTACACGGACTCTTTGTTTTCTAAAATATGACACATTTTCCGTATACATATTCGGAGATAGAGTTACTGTCCGACGAATATATGGAAAAACTTAAAATCAAACATACTCAAGATGGCCTAAATGCATTTGAGACCAAACATCAGGGGCGTGGGGGCAAGGTGCGCGACCGCGCAGGGCCTCAAAAATAGAGGCCCGAAATCGAATATATTTATCAGTTGTTGTCATTAATAAGCATAAAAATAGGGATCCCGAAATCGAGTATATCTATCAGTTGTTGTCATTAAGAGGCATAAAAATAGGAGCCCGAAATCGAATATATCTATCAGTTGTTGCCAATAAGAAGCATAAAAATAAGAGTCTCGTAATCGAATATATCTAGAACATAGGGCCCTTTATAAGAATTTGCACAGCCCGACAACCTAGCCACGGCCCTGCCAAACATGATAGGAGGAAGGGAATGTCTTGTGATGAAATCAAGGTAACAAAATGATAAACAGAAGCAATAATATTTAGAAAATTACAATGATAGAATGAAACAATTATAGATGATCGGTTAAAGTACTAACAGTAGAATATGGTAGCTTCTTCTGCTTTTCCCAAATTCAAACTATAAACATGAAAGAATAAATGGAGAATCTTGTGTATATAGTCTATAATACTGTAATGCATGAAGTAGCAAACAATACACCTTCCCCTATTTGCAGCTCAAACTTCTTAAAATTGGCAAAGACATGAAACCCAGATTAAATTAGGCATAAGATTTCAATCACAACACAACCCAAATTAGACTCAGCTGAGAAACATCAAACCCAAATTTAACTAAGATATCAGCTGCAACACAACCGAACAGAAAAGGGAGAGAAAATCCCAGAAAGGGAAAGAAAAATGGGATACCTTGATGCAAAGATTGCCAGTGCAAATGATGTGTTGGATCTTGCCAGGAACCAGCATTGACTTGAATTTCGGAGGGAGATCAGCCGCCCGATGAGGTATATGCAGATCCCCCAAAGCCAAAACCAGGACCATCTTTTTCGTCTTCCTCTAATATCTACCAATAACTGCACACTTAATTCAGAGAATTTTGAAATGAAAAGGAACCCAGCAAGGTAAACATGAAAATGAAAAAATATATATATGGTATGAAAATTTTGGGATTACTATTCAAGGATTTGGATTGACTTTTCGGGATGAAACCCAAAATACACAAAAAAAAAAAAGGAGAAAAATAAAAAGAATCTCTTTAGTTTGATTCTTTTGTTGATTTGTTCTTCTTCCCCTCCCGTAGTAATTAAATGGGGGAAAACGGGCGGTTGGGGGCGGATTCGGGTTAGGTTTATATTCGATTTTGATAGATTCATATCAGATTGGATTTAGTTCGAATTTAATTTTGGGTTTATGAAAGTCAGATCAGGTTAGATATTGAGTTATATCAATATCATATTAGTTGATTTACGGTCGAGTCAATACTAAATCGGTTAATTTTTAAATCAAGTAAATCTTAGATTTTTTAAATTAGTTCGGGTTGAGTTGATTACGAGTACAATTGAGTATATATATAGAGTTATTAATATATTTTTGTAAAACCATATATTTTTATTTGCTAATCTTATTATTTAAGTTCAATTTTATTTGAATTCAATTATCATTTAACGATAGTAATTTAATTTAAACTTAACCTATAAGATATACTAGAGTTTGCGATAATAATAAAAGTTAAATATTTACCTCTTGTGACCCCATGAAATATTATTTTCTCTTCTACTATTTGACAACTATGAAAGTGCATAATAACCTTATATTTTAAGGGACGCCCATGTTTTATTGGAAATATTAATATTTTTTAATATTTTCGATACATTACCTAAAATATTATTTTTATTAAAAATATTAATTTCGCTACTTAATTTTTTGTAGAAAAGATAATGTTTTAGGTAGTGCATTACCGAAAATGTTAAACATTTTAGGTAGTGCCTAATATTATCATTTCTGGTAGAAAAAATAATGTTTTAGGTAACGCTTTACCAAAAATATCAAAAAAATATTAACATTTCCGGTAGCATATTTCCTTAGTCGTATATTAAGGCTGACATAACTTAGAGATTCCTTCTTTCAAGTTAGTATAATGCGGAGAAAATTCTTTTTAGCTAATTGCCCATTCTTCCATCAATTCATAATCTAAAATTGTTTAATGGCAATGGGAAATACTTTCACTAAACACACACGATGATGTTTCGTCACCAATAGGAGATTCGTCCAGAGATTATCCTAGTAATTTTATTCTTGCTTTCAATAAATCTTTTAATTTTTCTTTCGTTCTAGAAGCTGAATTGTAGAACGTATTCAAAGATATCAAATTAGAATGGCAATATGATTTTGAGCATGCAGTCGTCCGAGAACGACGTTATTAAACTCCTATCACAATTATTCATGAACCTTATTTTTCTAGGTGAGAACCATCATTGATCTTTGTAATAGGGTATAGTACAAGAGAAACTAATGAAACGACTAATTACATGATCAAATGTGTTTCCAATGAGGTAGAATCTCTAGCTATATACAATTCAATTCCAAATAATCTTTCTCGTATTCTTCGTAAAGATGTCCATGACTTGCCTTATTAACAACTTAGAGATTGATGTGTTAATTTAATCTTTCCTTTTTTTCATTAAAATAATACAAAAAAAAAAGACTCTTTCAGGTGCGTAACTGAGCTTGGACAGGAGGGACACCTATCCAGTGACCCCTATTGCCTCGTGCCCAAAATTATGTATTTTCTATTTAGTCACTCGTTTATTATTTTAATTGTTTTGATTATCAAATTATTTTTTCCAAATTCATACTTGATATTACATTTTATATATTTTGTTACTCACCACCATTAACAACGATGTCAATATGATATTTTTAAATTATTTTTTTACTTTTCACTTAAATAATCTTTTGTTAATTTTTTTTGACAATATGGAGAATTTTTAAATCGAATTTGGGCTATCTTGAAAGAGGATCATACTTGTTTTGTGTAAATAGTTGGATGTTTAATAAATATTTCAAAAGTTTTCTATTTAGAATTTGATATATTTATTCGATAATTTATTAAATGCAATAAAGAAAATAATTTACAAGTAAATTTATTTATTTCTATTTGTTCTTACAATTTAATTCTTTTTTCGATATTTTTTATTAGAGGTATAATTTATAAATTCTTCTCAGATCACTAAAATCTTGTAAACAAGTTTGGACTCTTTGTAAATCAATGAGAATTTTATTTATTATTATTATTCGATTATGAAAGTCTCGGATGTTACTGAGGATGGTAAAGTGTTCAGCGTTCTTTAGGGCGCCCATGATACTCAGCCAATGGCCAGCGAGGACTGTACTCAGTGTCACAGAAAATACAAATATATATACATGAATTATAAAAATCTTTTACATATAAAATAAAAAGGTCAAAAATTAAATATAATCATGTCGAATAAGAAGTTTAGTTATCAAAATTTACATATTATACCAATTCAATATTGATAATAAAAAACGATTATCACGTAATTAAAATATTCTATAAATATTGAAGGTTAAAATTAAAATCAAATTGACATGATGCATAAATATTGAGAGTTAAAATTTATTATAATGACAATCAAAATTACTTAAAAATTGATGGACATTAACGGCGTAATTAATTGTTCTAACATTTTTGTCCATAGTAGTAGAGGTCCTTTCTTTTAATATCATCTGTTATCATAAAATTTCCTATGGAAGCTTGCCAGTAACTTTAGAACTAACAAAAATATATATACATATTCGAGATCAAAGGACCAAGAACTAACCGAATCAGTACCGTCTTGTCCAAGTAGACTTGATAGGTTTACTGCAACTGTCGAAAACAATGCCGATACAAGTTAGCTTAGTTAACAAGAAACACAGATCTATTGAAGTTCTAGGACACTCTAATACGCAGAACAACTATGAATAGCAATAATACAACATCAGTAGCAAGGCAAGCTTCAACAAACAAACGAAAATAAACTTTTATAACGATGATTGTTTTGTGGCCATGTTGAAAGTTCGAAACCTATTGATTTACACTCACAAACACCGAGAAATACCGAATTTTTCATTGGCACCTGGCCTATGCACACCTCTTATTGACCCAGTTTCAGTTTCATAGTATGTTCTAATAATTTTATACACCACAAAGCATATGAATTTTGAACCTATTCGTGCTGAATCCTCAATTCACAACGAGATCATCTCCTCCACTCTACTTGAGTCGCCTTTGCTGCAAGATTGAACAAAAACGAAAAGGTGGATTTATTAACATGGGGAGATGGAAACCATTTTCGGTAAAAGAAATGGCTAGCATTCTTTAGTTTTTTATGTTATAGAAGGTATAGATCACTGTCTAGATCCATGCCTATTCGTTTAGCAAGGACAAGGCTGAAGGAAAGCATTAACCGCTAACCAACCGACATTGCTGAAACATGTCTACTAATTAAACTAATATACAGCCTTTAGGGAAGTTGTACGATGAACGTGTCAGACTTGAGACAAGCTTGAGAAAAAAGAACTGACAAGTTCTAACCAAGAATCAGCATTTCATACCATTTCTGTCTCTGGATGACAATGCTCTCTCGCTTTTGCTACCTTCTTTCCCTGCATGAACCAGTCTCTGTCCCCTTGGTGACTGTGAGCTGCTTTTACCGTTAGCTGAAAATGGCAAAGACTGGCGACGAGTGAGATTATTTTTGTCATCTCCATCCTGACCAGATCGAGGAGAACCTTGCAGTCTCAGCTTAGCCTTGGCAGATTCAGTTGCTGCCATGTAGCTTGGAAGTGGAGGACTGATTTGAGGCCCATTTTCTGTATGATCTTGGTTTGCTGGATTAAAAGCTTTCCTGCTGGACTTCTGATTCTCATTGTTCATCGAGTCGTCCTTCCTTTTCAGCTCCACATTTGCCGCGGAAGTTTTATTACCCTTGACAGTTCTATCAATTGAAGGCTTTGAATCAACAATAGCAGGATCCGCATGAAATATATCCAATGTCTCATTCATCACCAATGGCCATGACACAGTTTCATTGTCAACTGATTTTGAAACTGCCAAAGTTGTCTCTTTTTTCATCTTCTCAGCTGAGCCATTCACTTCCACAGCTATCTCTTTCTTCCCCTTCTCAGCTGAGCCATTCACTTTCACAGCAATCTCTTTCTTCACCTTCTCTGCTGAGCTATTTACTGTCAATGCTATCTCTTTCATCTTCTCAGCTGAGCCATTCACTTTCACAGCAATCTCTTTTTCCACCTTCTCCGCTGAGCTATTCACTGTCAATGCCATCTCTTTCATCTTCTCAGCTAAGCCATTCACTTTCACAGCAATCTCTTTCTTCATCTTCTCTGCTGAGCTATTTACTGTCAACGCCCTCTCTTTCATCTTCTCAACTGTGCTATTTACTGTATCTGTCTCTTGTCTCATCTTCTCTGTTGAGCTGTTTACTGTCATGGCTATCTCTTTCTTCATGTTCTCAGGTGCTTTATTTATTGTCAAGGGCGTCTCTTTCTTCTTCTTCTCAGCTGAGCCATTTGTTGTAGCAGTTTCTTCTCTCATCTTCTCAGCCGAGCTATTTACCATCACGGCTGTCTCTTTTTTCATCTTTTCTGCCGAATTATTTATTTTCAAGTCCGTCTCTTTGTTCATCTTCTCAGCTGCGCTATTTCTTGTGGTAGTCTCTCTCACCTCCTCAGTTGAGCTAGTTACTGTGACGGACATCTCGTTCTTCATCTTCTCGGCAGAACTATTCACTGTCAAGGCCATCTCTTTGTCTATCTTCTCAGTCAAACTATTAAGGCTCTGTTCCACGATATCTATGTTAGTAGTGCTTGAGACCTTCTCTGAACTCGGCTTTGGCTTTTCAAATTCAGCCTCTGACTGCACTGAATTTTCTACTACAGAATTATGAACCTTTCTCAAGTTGCGTTTAACCTTTTCAAACTCATTTTGTGGGTTTTCCTGCACTGACGACTCAGCGGGATTGCTGGAAACTTTCCTCAGGTTACGCTTGGGCTTGTCAAATTCAGAGGTTGCTAGAACAGAGGTACCATCCAGATTTGCAGGACGAATCCTGCGAACACTCAGTTTTGGTCGACCTGTATCAATGTCAACATGACCATTAGCCTGTTTCCTCTGCAACTTAGAGCCGGAGGCCTTTCTCGGTTGAGGAACTGGTTTCCAGAAGCAGGATGCTGACCAGCGCTCTAACCAGTTCCGGACAGAATTAGGTTCCCCAGCATCAACATGGAGGAGCAGAGGCAATATAGGAAGTGATGAAGCAACAAGCTAAAGAAGAAAAATCCAACGGTCACTTGGCTAATGTGAAAGAGAAAAGTAAGCCCAATAAAAGGGACAAATCAAACAAATTCCATTTTAAGAAATCATGTCTACTGACTGGGGATAGCTAACAATATGCTTCTTAGCACCTAATATTTTTAGGTTTGATTATGCGCAATATTTTTGTACCGCTGATTCAGATTTTCATAAAGACATGAGAAATATCTTTGCATAATCTAGTGAGAGAGAATTATCAATCAGGCTTCCAAACATCTACGTCTCACGTCTGGTAGTCAGGAAACGTTAAATGATACTTTTGAGCCTACCTAATATTAATGAAACGGGAGAGTAAGTATTAGCAAGAAAAGTTAGCATAATCTTCATTGAACAAGAATAAATTCATATATTTTTGCCGATCTATTTTATTCATGAAGCAATATTAATATTTGAAAACTTGGGAAATGAAAATTATCGCCTGAATAAGCCACGTACCATGATACGATGGATCAGACAGCTAGATAAAGCCAAAGGCCAGGTAGTTACGTAATGTTTTCCAGGTCAAAAAAAAAAGTTATAGATAAGGATAAAGCCACCGAAGCATAATAGCCAATGCATGGAGTCATCTCCAGAAGAGGGGCACAGTATCAAGATAAACTCCATATATTTTCTATTTCATAAATAAGAAATGTAAGCACAATACCAACCATACCTTACGAACAAAAGCATTTTCTGACAACTTTCCAATGCGAGCAGACTTATTCACTCCAAGAGAAGCCACAGGATTGCTTTCCTGCCAAACGATGAAATAAGATTAACAAAGCAAAAATGGCCAGCTTACCTATTTCTTGAATAATTACAAATTTAATGCAGGAAGATGAGGATGAGGACTAAAACAAAAGAGCATGTTCTATACTTCAAAAATTCATATATGCTACTAAATCCTGCAGATCGTGATTACTGGAAGTAAAAGTTTACAAGCAATGACAAGAGTTAACTTCAAAAGCATTTTCACCACTCAAATTGTAAATGACTACCCGTCGAACCCGAAGTATGTGGTGTTAAGTTCTGCTCAAACCTCAGGCCAAAAATCTCTTTTTAACAGTTCTCACTAAACATGGCTCATGATGGTCTAATCAATTAGTTTACATATGGACCATCAAAGAGAATTTGAATGAAAGGGATGGTGATTGTATGATAAATTTCAATTATTAGCAACCAGGATGAGAGCATATACTTAAAGAATTTCCCAGATGAATCATGAATAGTAATTGGTCCATGATCAAATTCCCAAAAGTATTACCTGAAGATTCATTTGATTGAGTTTCTTCTGCACTTCAAGACCACCATCAGAATGCCTGGCCATTACTCCACGAACGTGAGCTTGTAGCTTGACAATTCCCATCATACAGAACAAAGTAGTAATAGCTTGCCTTCTAACCAAGTGACCACGAATAAGTGCCTGCAGCCTTATAATGGCTTTGAGGGCCCCGAATGCTCGGCGTGCCTTCACATAATTAACTGATATTAGTAGAAGGATAATCTCAAGTAAAGGTTCTTACTAAACTATTTGAAAAATGATAGTAAAATTGCACAGGAAAAAAGAAAAAAAATACCAGGTAACCCCTAAAAGCAGCCTTAACAATGGTTGCTGCTTGTTCTTCCTTAACCCTTTCTGGATCATATTGCGAATCTTGGAGAGTGGAACTTGGAGAATCTATGCCTTGACTCACTGGCAGTGATATCCCGTCATCATTAGATATATTTGCAGCCTCATTGTTTTTCACTTCTAATTTCCTTTCATCCCTCTCATTAGCATATGGATTAAGCTGTGAAGAAAAGGGAGGAGCCACCGCAACATCAGTTTCTGATGCCCTGACTGCAACCAATACCTCCTTTACATTGGCAGCATTCTGCAGATAACAGTTCAAATGAAAAACAGAAAGCATGTATTAATATTTTAGGATTGATGGAAGAAAGATGCCAAATCATGTTTATCTCATGATTCCAGGAAAGAAATGATATATTCCCAAGATAAAAGCATCGAAACAACCATGTTAAATACAACAGCTCCCAAAGAAATTTCCAGGCAGCTAATGTTTCAATCAGTTAATCTTACATTTAGTTAATTTTCTCGTGAATGGAACTAAGCCATAAAAAATAAACCAAATAACAGAGGAACCATCCATAAACTGAAAATTATTCAGATATATGCTATAGAGAGAAAGAATACAGTTGATAAACTATCACATAAGAATTTGCAAACACAGAGTTTGCATTATTGGATGCCACAGTTTAAGAAGCAGCTCTTGCCTCTCAATCTAAGATGGAACCACATGCCACAAGTTATTAAGACAAACAGTTGCTGAAAGAGATATATAAATCAATTTCTTTAACACAGTGCACCTTGAATCAGATAATATCAATAAATGGAATCCTAAGCTCTTTTCATAGAAAATACATTTTCTTGATAGCCAAATGATTTAAAGGAAACACTTCATATATCATAGCATTGCAAACAGTATTTTATTATCGCGCAAAATATTAGCAAAAGTAAATATTATATTATAATATATTATTAGCGGTTTCTCATGCACATGATCTAAACATCTATGTGATTTTTAGTAGTAATTAGTAAAATTTATTACCCCTCTTCGTTTATGGTAACCAGTTTTGGAAGTTCTCTTTCCAAAAAACACCGTCTTAATCCATTTCCCTGGTGATTTTCCCATAACGCAAAGACCACGAGAAACTGAAAATACCTGTAATAGACTTTCAACATCATTCTATGTTGTAACAGCTTAAGAATACATTAACCCTAAATTCAAGAATCATTAAAAAATGTCAAACGACAACAGAAGCCACGCTTAACAAATTACAGTAAAATAAAAGTTCTACAAACAATTATAAACAAAAGGCAAAGCAAATTACTAGAATCAGCTAAGGATCCATTGATCTAACAATTTCTAAGCCAAATTGTATAAAAATAATAAATTAAATTCATTAGCCGTTACAGGTACGATGTACTGGTAGATGAAATCAAAAGAAAAACAATATGGCGCCAAAATAAAATAAACAAAGGAAAACATTTTACGACTAAATAATTTACACCAGATCTGATACTTACCTCGCAAATGCAATACTTTCGAAGTTCAAATCTATAGTTCCTGATTTTCAAAAACACCTTTGTTTTCCTTTGCTTTCTTCAAAATCAAATAAAAAAAGAAAAGAAAAGAGAGAAAATGTAAATCAAAATTTACCGTGAGAAAGCTAGCGCATATCAGAGAGTAAGCTTACAAGCAAAACTGGAAGATTTTCTATTTGTTTTGGGTTCGCTTTTGTTTTGCTCTGGTTTTGTATAGAGAGTGAGGGAAGTTCCAAAAATAACGATGGGTAATCTGGTACGTGCAGTTCCAGTGTAATGATTTTTCACTAGATTGATTTGAGCCGTTGGATGGTACCGACAGTGGATATTTGATCGTTGGGATTAAAGCAGATAGGAGTTGGCATAGGGGATGATTTTAAGATTTTGGGTTGCCTGGCCCACATTACGTTACTTCGGGTACTTCGGGAACGAACAAAGAAGCAACGACTCAGTTTTAGAAAGTGTCAATATAGAATTTGATACCTACATTTTATTCTAATGTTCAAATTAGTACTTTACTTTTATATAAATATATAATTTGACCAAATGATATAATGATATTTAAAATAGGTCTCTAGGTAAAATAATAATAATAATAATAATAATAATAATAATTAATTATGATTGTGGTTGGAATAAGTTTATGTTAACAATTCATCTTTTTTAATTTAGACAAAAAATTATAATTCTGGATAATGGCGTTTGGTTGATAATGAAAGTAGAGGGAAATAAGCAATATATTTGTGTAAATCAGAATTAAGAGGGAGTTTGTCTTATTTTCAATCGTGACGGATGAATATTTTATATTATTTACTCTCAAATATTAGATATATAATTATTATGACTATATAGAGGTTAATATGCTAAAAAATATTAGTTGTCAGTTATTAGATTTTGTTATAATAGATTACATGGAACAAGTCATAAATCTAATCAGGACTGTAATCATCTAAAGATTATTGTATTTAAAAAAAATATTAGATTGAAATTAGAAAAAAAAAGTATATACTAAATTAAACAATGAAATCAAAATTAAGTATTGAATGGTTTGAATCTAGATTGTTTAAAGAGTATAATATAATTTCATTACATCATATATTTGTTGGTGTATATATGAATATGAATATGTGCTGATATATAGTATAAATTATTATATATTTTATAAAATCTATCAGTTTATTTTACCTTGACGTGACTTATACTCAAATTACATTTTTATCCTCCACCTTGTTGCTATACGTGAAAGTTACTATTAATTGATAGCGGCAGATGCACGGGTGTAAGGCAATATATATATATAATTATGATATAGAATAATAATTTTATAAAAATTATGTAAATTTTATGATATTTATTAATCAAACTCATGATATCAATTATCGTATTTGATTTCAGATAATTCATTTTTCTCTTTTTTAAACAAAACCATTATGCTGTAAAATAATAAATGATTAATTTTTAAAATATAATTATTAATATATAATTTATTAATTAATTAATTTGATCAAATATTATAAAAATGTATTATGAAATGATGCTATTAATCTATTTTCTCTATTTATATAGACTAATTTTATTATATATAAAATATAAATAAAAAGATTTTACTAATAAAACTACTATTTTCAGGTTGTTGTATATTAACATTTCACCTAACTCGATGAATATAGTTGTCAATCGCTACATTAAATTGATACAATGCTTTTAATTACAAATATTATATTAATTAATCTTAAAGAAGACCCATAAGTATTAGTTAGCAATAACAGAGCGAGACTGTTGATATTTTGGTTTTCACGATCAACTAAATTGATAGATCATAATTTTATTTTTGTATAATTTTATAAATTGTTTTATATTAAATAGTTTATAATATGTTTGTTACATTGTAAGAGTTGATATCGATAATATAAATAATCCCATAAATAAAAGACTCAAATTTTACGTAAAATCCCTAATAAAAAAATACTTAAGGTAAAAAAGTTTAACGATACAAACGATTGATTTGAATGGCTTAAACAACTTTCACGTCTTAATGTTAATGTTAATTTTAATCTCTATTATCAAATATCGTTGAACTTTAGACGAGCTATTATTTATGCTATTGAACTTCCAAAATGCTCCAATTATAACACTTAATATGTTATTTTAGCTAATAAACTTTAGGGGTGAACCAATTTTATCACTGGACTTTTAAATTGGTTCACTTTTAGGCATTATATTTTTCCGATTACCATTGGCAATGAATCGTCGCTGTCATTGGTATCCATTCGTGATAAAATCGATATAAAAAACAAAATTGACATCAAAACATTCACATTTTGATATCAATCATGTCACGAATGACAATCGATAACGTGTGACGATTGGTACCAACGACGGTTGGAAAAATTCAACGCCTAACACGAAATTTGTTCAAAATTTAATGGCAAAATCAATACACTTCTAAAGTTTAATGTCTAAAAATACGTCATGTTAGGCATAAATAACTGCGACAAAATGATATTGTTTTGTTCATGTATCACAGTGATAAAAAGATACATCCACATCATCGTATCATTAGAATTTAATGGTCCAGTGATATAATCGAAGTCAAAACTAAAATTTAGTATTATAATTAGAGAATTTGAAAGTTCAATGACATAAACAATATAATGCCTAAACTTCAGTGATATAGGGTAAAATTTTGTCATTTTATTTTCTCATTGCCTATAAAATTATCTTTTTCTTATCACCTACCGTCAAATGAGATTTTGACGTATTACCCCATTTTCTCCTTTCCCGATTATGATATTAGATGTTTTCCCACATATACCCTCATTGTCGGCAATTAATTACCAGTCCTATAAGAGAAATAACAACTTTAATTTGAATTTCTACAAATTTTTATTGTCCTAAAAGGTACATCAACAACCCTAAAGGAAAATTTTGTTTTTATTTGGAACCAACTACTCTCTCGGTAATGGTCTTGATGTGTGGGATCCCTCAACAAACATACATTTGTTAGCATTTAGTGCTATTTTTTTTCTTTGGGTAAACTACATTAGATAATCATTCAAGTACATTAAAATATTTTTTTGTCAACGAAATTTTAAATATTATAAAACAATCATCAATTTTATCAAATTGTTGCAAAAATAATTCTTATATGTTATAAAATGGTAATAGTTTTTTGGGGGTAAATTAAACGTTTAGTACCTCAACTACCACTTTTGTTCTGTTTTGATTACCCATTTTTTCTTCTTCAAAATCATACATAACGTTTAGTTTTGATTTCATTTTAGTCATACGTCATTAAAAATAACAGTGATGTTGATGTGACACCATATGATAATGCCACATCAGCAGTTCTACTAATTTTTAAATGGTGGGTGACCAAAATGTAACATTATATATGATTTGAAAAAAATAGTTGGGTGATCAAAACAGAACAAAAATGATAGTTGGAGTACTAAACATGTAGTTTACCCTATTTTTTTATAAGTTTAAAAACAAATTTATAATAATTCAAGAAGTATAAAAGATATTATAATAATTTGATTTTTTATAATAATATTGTAAGTATATAAGAAATTTAATAATTATTTAATTTTTTTAAAAAAAATTATAGATTAAATTATTTTAATATGATTGAGTATTCTCTAATAATGTGATATAATTATAAGCCATATCTTCAATAAAAATATCATATCAATTTTAAGGAATTTACTTTTAGATATACTAAAGCCTTTTTCATGATTAAGAGATAATCTTAAATTTGATTACTAGAGTTTATAATTAGATGATGATAACTATGATGATGGTACTTTATGAAACTCTAATACATAATTTAAAGCTACAAGTGAAAAAACATTTGAAAGGCCTAATATGCAATAAATGTCTTATTTTTCTTGTACTAGGGGTCCATCAATCTCAATTTGATATTCTCATTTGATATCATTAACATGAGTTTCAAATAAACAACTATAACCATCAATTTGACACGAATTGAGTTATTTCAATCATTAAACGTTGGTGGTTATTTTTAGAGGCTTTGAGTTTGAGTATAACATTTATAAGAGTGTTTGAGCGTTCGTTGTCAACTGATTGAGAGTCTTTCAAATAGATGTTACCTTATAGTCACCCCAACTAGTCCAAGAAATTAACCAAATTATAATTAAAAAAAATGAAAAAATCATGTGTGTCATATGATAATAGTATATAAAAAATAATTAAATAAATTGATTTACCAATTAAAAAACTTAATTATTCATATAAGAGTTTATTTTCTTTCAAAATTCAAAAAACTAAAGACATCCTTAAATACGGACCAATAAGCTTGAAAAACCTATTAGGCCCAACCCAAGTTATGTACGCTATAAACTTCCTTTACTACTTCGGCCTTCATTGAGGCTCCATTGTACTCTCCATTCCCAAAACCCTACATCTTTTCACTGAAAACCCTTCATTCCTGTCGGTCTCTCTTATTCATTGATTTGAGCCCCTTCGTCAAGCTTAGCCTTGGGTCTCTCTCTATATTCACAAGGTCATCCCTTTAAAGGTAGTGTTTTTCCCTCCTTCTTTCTAAGTAACCTTTTGATTGCCTGTTTGGTGGCTCTCGTTAGTGATTCTCTTGTTTTCTTCTGCTCTTTTATTGTTTGTTTTAAGGGGCTGTTCATTTGTTCTCACGATGAGCTTGCTCGATATAATAACGAAGGCCTCAGCTAATACTGAGCCGCACAGTTCTCTAGCAGAGCACCCCATACTTCTAAACGCAGATGATATTCTCCTCAAATTAAAGCCTGAAGCTGAAAACCCCAATCCCACATCGCTTGTTAATCCCCTTACGGGCTGGGGAATCTCTCAAACTGATGCTAAACTCATTGAATTGAGTAAAAAGTTTTATACCAAGTTAAATAGAAAGCTCAAAGACATCCATAACTTCAATAGAGAAGAGTTTATTGGTATATTGACTCCATTTATTGAGAAAATTAGGGAGAAAGGTGGGTTTTTTTTTTATCGGGGTCGATTTAAACGATTCTGGTTATACTTCTGTTTTGCTTGAAAAAGTTGGGTCTTTGATTGGTAGAGATGTTTTGAGTTTGGTTTTGGAAGCTTGTATTAGTTTGGAAATTTGGGAATTGTTGGAGGTGTTGATTGTTAATGGCCTGATTGACCATTCTTGTTATTCGAATCTGATTATTAATATTTCTGCCAAGAAAAGGTCGGATTTGCTTTGTCTTTGCGTTAAACAAGCTCGCAATTTGGGTTCGGTTGAGTTGCTTAGCATATTGAAATATTTTCTATGTCCACCTAAAGATGGCTATGCTAGTATGGTTAATGTGAGGAAGGAATGGGAGAGTCAAGCTTTGCTGGCTATTGAAAAGGCCAGACTCGGAAAGAAATCACAGTTGGCCAAGGAGGCTGCGATTTTGCTTATGGTTGCGCATGATGGGTTTTCGGATGCTGAGCTTTGTTTGCATTATTTGTTAGCTTCAAACAATGTCGATGAGGTGATATTGTCATCTTCACTAAGTAGGTTAGTCGGTAAAGAGTTGATGAATTTGATTCGGTACCTTGGGAAATGGTTGAAAAAGTATGAGAGGTTTCCTCAAGCCATTCCATATCCTAAGGCATCCTCTGTTTTGGGCTTGAAGATCTGTGATTGGGTGCCCAAGCTTGAAGATGTCGCAAAATGTCTTGGGTTTGTCGTGGATGAGAACTTCTCTTCTTTGATGTTACATCCCGAGTTCCATGAAGAACTCAAATCCATCGAGGGAGTTGTTAGTTCCCTTGCCTTTGAAGCAAAATTTTGTTGTTCAATGACAAATGTAATCGAGAAGTTGAGAGGAGATTTGCAGAGCTAGGAATTACGGTAACATTGCATAAACACACTCTTTTCCTATCATTTGTGATTTCCCGTGTCTAATATTGTGTTAACTAAACTCTTGTTTGTTTTGGATTGAATCGAAGTAATCTTTAATCTTTTTGTCTGTCATATTCAAATCTTTGAGAGCTTGTGATTGCTTCATTTAGCGTCTATGTTTTGGCAAAATCATCTATCAGCAAGTTTGGAATTTTTTTTCTTGGAGCCTATGATACTTTTATTTAATTACCTGTAAATGTTTAATATCGACCAGAACCCTAGAGAAGTATGTAGGCATACATACGCAGGTAATTGCATCGGTTCCATGATTAGGTAATCTGCCATTTGTCTCTCGTCATCATAAAATACGACGTGATATGATCTCAATACGAAGTATCTTTCTAAGTTCATTTCAATTCCGTGCAAGGGAAGACAGGCAAAGCATGAGATTGAAGACACTTGTATTTACACCTATTGAATCAGATATAAGGAGTTCGATGCTCTTTAAATAAGTTATAGATTCGAGTTTGTGATTGGAAAAAATAATACTACATAGCTTTGTCTGTCATTTAAGGAAGGTTTTTCTTTTTGTATATCTCGAGCCTAATCTAATTTGGACCAAACTCGTTCTGCCTTTTATTGGGTCTACGATTGGTCTGGTATCGTAGTAATTTAAATTTACTGATTCCGTCTAATATTAACTTTAGAAGCATCTGCTTATTTCATCTTCATATTTAAATCTTTTAAATTTTTTTTGAAGTTTCCCAATTTAATTACGAAACAAGTAGAGAATTTTGTACTTTATCTTTCTTTCAATGAAACAAGCAATCCACCCCCACAAGACAGAACATTTCAAGAATGGGATTTTAGGTTAAGAATATAATGAAAGAAAGCTTTACAAGAAAAGCTTTATGAATATAGACAAACCCAAAGTCTTTTATAAACGAAAAGCACAGTTTCAATCCTATAAAAACGATGAATCCATCAAGTTTTGTGTGTATGTCGACTGTTGTTTTATTTTCCAATTAGCAACGGTAAAAAAAGTATCAAATTGAATATGTCGAACGCCAGAGATAGGCTGAGTCAACGGTGGCCGAGCCATATCGCCGAGAAGTTTGTTCCCACATCGTACTGGACTGAGGATTCCGAGGGCAATTATTTGCTTGACATTGACCTTCCTGGTATTAAACCAACCGATCTATTTCCGTTGGTTCATCACTTTTTCTTTTAAATTTCTGTTTTAGGAAATCGATTTAACCAAACTTATTTAATATTAACCGGTTCGGTCGGTTAAGTAGTTAACCGATTTTTTTGTTGGGTCTAAATAATTTAGGGTTCGAACATGATGAGGTGAGAATAGAGCAAGAGTCAGCTGGTTACATAAAGGTCGAAGGAGAAAGGATACCTGATGAAAACAGGTGCATATACATCGACCAAACCTTCCGGTTACCAGAGAATTCAGACACCGAAAACATCCTAGGCAATTTCGACGGTCAACATCTGTGCATTACTGTTCCAAAGAAAATCATCCGGAATACTGTAGATCAGAGTTCACACAAAAAAGAGGAAGACCGCGAAAACGACAGAGATAGAAGAGATATTGAAACGAAAAATGAACGCGAAGAAGGTATCAAGAGCAGCAGTGACCGAACATGTTGTGTTCCGAGTTCAAAGAAACCCGAAGGTAAATACAGTTTGTTATCGGTTATACTCGATGGTGTTGAGCGGAATAAGGGGATTGTTCTTTCGGCTTGTATATCGTTTGCCATTGGGGTGTGGGTGTCCCAGCTTTGGGTCTAAGTATTGTTTGCATTGTTCTTAAATACGTATCAGCGCATACGTAAATCGTCTCTCGTATGTATATACATTCCTGTGTACGTGCATGTGTATACTTGTAATAAACATATTGGCTTTAAAATATAAGGGGTTCCACCAACTAGTTTGGTGTCTTTATTGGCTTGCCAAAGAAGCAATAAGTTGTCTTAATTTACCAAGTAAAACTATCTTTTTAAGTCCAAATAAGTGCATAAATCTACAAATGCTGAAAGAGCTCAATTCAATTTAATTGAAAAGAAAAACCATCCAAATATCGTTTGTTTCGGTTAGTTTACTATCAACACAAAATGAATATCCGGTCGTTGATTAAAGCCAACTAAAACGCAGTGGTCGTGGCTGGCCACATTCTCCGGGCTAACTACCGACTTGATCATCATCAGGTCCTGCAACAGCTTCCCAAATTGGAATCTGTCAGTACAAACTACAACCAATAGTAGCACTAAACAAAAATGCAGGGAGAGTCCAGCTATCATTGCAAAGAAATGCTTACCTTGTTTTGATCCTTTTAGACGCTTCGAAGCTGTTTCTGCAGCTACAAACTATCGTGGCCTCTTCTGCGACTCCTCCTCTAAAAGTCCCAAAGCATACATATATCTAATTATCTGCATATCCTGCTGGCTTCCAGCAAGTTTTTTCAAGAAACCTGTGAAACAAGTAACAGAAGTTAACACCCATATTGGACCTCCTGACACAAAAGAACAGTAAACTACTACCAAGCCTCATTCCAGGATCATGGCCTCGGGTTTATTAAGAATGAAGCAATTGCATATAGATAAGAGAAGGTAAATGGTTTTATAGACTTTACAATGAATCTTATCTTCCAAACCAAGAGCCTTAAATATTTCCGTATTTTGAATATGTCGAGCAACAAACACCAAAACACCGAGAAGCTTGTTGGCATCGAATGCATAGGCCAATCGGAAAGAGGCTAAAAACCACAGGAATCCCAAGACCTCCAATTCATGGCCGGATTCAACTTTCAATTTTGTTTCCCAATCAAAGGCAAGAATTACAGCATTTTCTCTAACATGAGGCTTAATCTCGGGTGAAAGTTCCATCAATTGCTCTAACAAGAGAATACAACTTCTTCTGGCAACTTCTCCTTCGAACTCTCTGTCTCCCTTGCACAAATGTGGTGGGTAAAACCCCTCCATTGCATCCAAGACAAGCTTTCCAGGGTCTCCTGAACGTTGAAGGGCCATAGCAACTTCAGTACCGATTGAACTGTGGTCTTTCCAGCCCTCATTTAGGAACATCTGCAAATTCTTTCCATCCATATTTACACAAAACTGAAGATGTGCTTGTGAAGAATGATCGACGGACAAAATGTTTGCTGCTTCAGCTTTCACTCCAGGATGCAGGGCAGAAGAAAGACTCCTCTTCTTTTTCCACAAGTTCTTTAGAACCTCTGGTCACACCTTTTCACATCAAACTCAAGATCACTGGACTGTTTCTCATTCTATCTCCTTTGTTTTGAAGATAATTCTTCAATCTTCTTCTCTCTTAGTTCGACTTTTCTCAAACATTCATCATAATGCTTCGCGTTTAATTCGACAGCCAGATAACATAGCTCAAGACTTCTTTCTTTTAACTCAACATCTTTACGGCGTCTCATTCATCGTGAAGTTGAGCATTGACTTGAATATTCTTCATCGTGAAGTTAAAATCCAAGTATTGTATGTTACGGGTGGACACGATTCCCTTCGCCGTGAAGATAAAACCGTGGATGACCCCTTTATTGTGAAGTTTGGCTTCGAGTTAGATATTTTCCATCGTGAAGTTGAAATCTACTCTCGAGCAAATTGTGTCGCTTTGAGTTCAATATCCTTCGCCGCGAAGTTGAAATTGACTCTAGCTAAACCTGAAAAGTTATGCATATATGTGATGCTATGGATGCAATGCTCTTATGTGTGCCTAAAATGCATATGCAACATATGTTATCTTGGGGCTCTGGAGAGAAATCTCGATCTTCGATTGCCTGTCTGGAATCTTGATTCTTGAATCTTTAAGTTCTGATCCCTGATTTTAAATTCTTCAAATATTCAAATCTGATGTGCACATTCTATTTTTGATTTGAGAAATGCTTCTCGACCATCTCAAGTACGTGTCTGAGCTGAGTGTAATGGTTCAGATGATGTTTCAAGAGAAGTTGTCTTGAAAGAGATAGAATTCGTTTCAAGGGAAACAATCTTGTTGTTTCATGAAAACGGTCTCAAGGGAAACAAAATTTTGTTTTAAGGGAAATAAATTTGAAGATTGTGTTTCAAGAGAAACTGTCTCAAGGGAGACAAAATTTATTTTAGGGGAAATAAATTCAAAGATTTTGTTTCAAGGGAAACTGTCTCAAGAGAGACGAAATTTGTTTCAAGAGAAACTGTCTCAAGAGAGACAAAATTTAGTTCCAAAAGAAACTGTCTTAAGGGAGATGAAATTTGTTTCAAATAAAACATATTCAAATAATTTGTTTCAAGGGAAACTGTCTCAAGAGAGACAAAATTTGTTTCAAGGGAAATGTTTTCAATGTTTATGTTTCAAGAAAAACTATCTCAAGGGAGGTAAAATTTTGTTTCAAGGGAAACTATCTCAAGAGAGACAAAATTCATTTCAAGGGAAATGTTTTCAATGTTTATGTTTCAAGAGAAACTGTCTCAAGGGAGACAAAATTTTGTTTCAAGGGAAACTATCTCAAGTGAGATAAAATATTCTTTTTAAAAACAGTCTTGAATGAAATGCCTTCTTTCGAGTGAAACAGTCTCAAGTGAGACAAAGTCTGTTTTAAGAAAAGAAATCTCAAGTGAGATAATCATCTACATTAAATGAGACTATTTCAAGCGAGACAAAATTTATATTGGAAATGTTGAATCTGAAGATGAATGTTGATCTTTCAATCTGTCGAGTTGGTTGAAGTGTGACTTCTTGCTGCTGAGTTAAGCAACCACCATCGATTTTTACAAACTCTTTTGAATCAAGTATCTTTTGTCTTGAAGTTGAAACTTGACTCTAAAGATGTGGAGGAAAAGCCTTCGGAAGATCTGATCGTTTGCATCAGGATTTTGAATCTCCAGAGATGCCCCAATATTCAATGTTGAATCTCCAAAAATGCCCCAACATTAAAAGTGCCCCTATTGTTCCTTATTTCTTGCTTCAACATTAATTCTAAGCATGACATTACTGTCTAAGAGCCATATGTCATTTACCAAGATCCACTTTAGAGAGATTGTCTTGTTTGAAAAAATGTTTCTCTTTTATTTTCAAAATTCTGAAAATATCAATTAAAAGAGTTTCGAAAAATGTTTAATCATAAGTTTTGAAAATATTGCCCCTTTCACGGTTTTACAATTGAGAGCCATATGTCATTTACCAAGATCCACTTTAGAGAGATTGTCTTGTTTGAAAAAATGTTTCTCTTTTATTTTCAAAATTCTGAAAATATCAATTAAAAGAGTTTCGAAAAATGTTTAATCAGAAGTTTTGAAAATATTGCCCCTTTCACGGTTTTACAATTGAGACGAATCATAAAACTAGAGTTCATTGGATATCAAAGAATTAATTACAATATTAATCCTTCAATAAATTATAGTTATTTGACACGTGCCAAGATCAAAGCTATTTTTGGGAAATGTTTAAGTAAGGAAAGGATAAAAGTCTCAGGTTATTGTGTTTGGTCAAAGGTTTGTCATTTTTTTGTTTATTTGATGCTGAAAGGTTTGATAGGGTACCTTGTATGCTCCTCTACTGGAAGTGTTCTCCGACTCCCAACTTTCATGGTCATGCTCGGATTGTGCGATGCATTATCAAGGAATTTGTGTGATTGCCTCAACTGCCCAATTTTCGTATTCGAGCCGCCTTTTCAGGTTTTCAAGACGTCATTCGTAATTTACGTCTTGAACCCCCCTTTGTTATTTTTCTCTATCATACATTAATTACACTATTTTTTTTGCAAATAACGATTAGTCATGATGGGCGGGATGAAATCTGAAGATAGTCTCTTCTGTTTAGAAATCCATGTATGATTAGAAGGGACTTTTAAGACACGTAACGTAGGTCATGGTTCATGGTTATGAAATAAAGGGATAAAAGTCTCAAACAAGTGTTTAAGGGTGATCGAACCAAAGATCAATTCATTCTGATGTCTTCAATCATATCTTGCTCAATTTGAATCTGCTCGTATGTGTGTGTGTCTTGATGCTCTATGATCTTCGAGTGGAGTGATTCAGTAATTCAGAAATGATTGTGCTTGATCAATCTCATTTGATGCTCTATAATCTTCGAGTGAAGTGGTTCAGTGATTTGATCAATCTCATAGTTTGAATCTCGATGCGTCATTTGAATCGAGAGAATCTTTGCATATGCATATTGCCTTCTTTTTTCTTCAATTTTCCTTTGTTTTTTTATCTTTTTATTTTCTCTTTGCTTTTTTTCTTTTTTTTTCTCTTTTTGTTCTGATTGAATCTTCGCACTTGGCATTTAGTTTACCTTTCGGTATCTCATCTGAATCAATGTCTTCACTCATGCGAGTAGATTTTCTCCACCTTGCCCCCAGTGTGGAGGGTGATCCTTGGTTAGGGTTGAATCAGAAGAAAAATACTATAGGCTCAAAAAGGGACACAAGAGATATATATATTCTCCTGTTGTGAAGGGGTAAAGAAAGAAAGTCGTTCATCATTTCATACATATAAGCTTTCACAGAAGAGGTATCCTCAGGAGGATATATTTTCAGGATTAATTTTATTCACATGAAAACATTGTAATTAATGTATGATATAATTATTTCGAGTGAATTCTTCTTTCTACTTCTTGACCCGAACATGTCTCAATGTTCAAGCTCCATACGAGATGCCCCAAGTTGTGTCTTAGAAGAATGCTCATGTTCAAATGAACAACTCAAGGCCTTGGGTTTTGATGGCATAAAAATGTCAATTTTGAGTCTAAAAAGACAATGGTGTGACTTTATCGACTCAAAGAAAGGTATGGAATGAAAAAGTTTCAAAGGGGTAGTAACGTCAAAACTTGGTCTTTTTGGTAATGGCCATGAGTTATTTTGGGTAATGAATCAAGTTATTTTATTTTGGGGTTTGAGACATGATAAGAAAGGTCTAATCTTGCCATATGTCAAAAATCTATAATTCTTGAAGAATTAAAAGAATCCTTAATTCATTTAATATTCGAAGAACGAAAGATTAAAATTTGTTCAATTGCTCCACCTTAGAAAGTAGCATAAATTCAATTGTTTAAAAGATTAAGCAAAAGATCAAAGACGTGTTCAAACAAAACAATCCTCTAGGTGCAAATGGTATATGTAATTCCCCCTTCTTCGGCTGTCCATGCCCCTGAATCCATCAGGTTTTGGATCTTGCGCTTCAGCGCCTTATAGTTCTCAGAGGAATATTTAGAGCATCATATGTGGCAACTGCAAACAGCTTCAACATCGCAGCCCTCAGGATGTGTGGACTCTTTTCTCAGATCATATTGGTAGGCTTAGTCGTACAACCAGCTGATCGAGCTCATTCGTTATGATTTTAGTTTTTTCTTTTGATGTTACAATCTTGCTTCCATGTGGTGTCATGTGGTTAAAACCACTTCATCGAATTCTCCATGAAGAAATTTCATATTTATGAAAATGCTTAAAAATGAAATGTAGATGCAAAATGCAAAAATACATGAAATGTTCGAGGCATTGATCCAAAAACATGTTTGTTATTGTAAATAACCTTTATTGGGACAAAAGTGTTTTAACTTTTAAGAGACAATAAACATATTTAAAGGTACATCCGGACTAAATCCTCTAGACCCGGAACAGGTTGACTAGTCATTTGCCTTCGTCTTTCACCAGTTGAATAACCTGTTGAACCACTCCGGCCTCTCTGGATGAACTGTGAAAATGTTGAGTTGTTTTTTGTACTGGTTCCCCAAAAAGTATTGAATGACTGCATCTCTGGCTTTCATCCTTTGCTGAATCGGAAATTCCATTGAAATCCTCCATCAAAGGGATTATCCGAAGTTCATTTGCTTGTTTCTTGAATTTGTCGACATTGACTTGCCATCTTGTTCTTGTTATCTTTGAATGGACTCTCGAGGTCAGTAACCTTTTTCTCGTCTTGCCCCTGCCCCCTTTGTCAACCCATTTTTGAAGGGTAACTTTTGATGTTCTTGATTGTGGGCACCATGTCTTCTTGATCGAATGTGACACATAGTTGTCTTACAAATTGTCCTTATTTTCTTTCTAAGTCTTTTTTGACCATAGCCGAACCCTTGCGTTTTTCATCTCTTGTATTACAACCCTTTGTCCATTAATGCAAATTATTTATGGTTAGCAAACATGTTGTTTTGTGGATCAACACCTCTTTTGAATGATGTGATGATAGATAAAATAAAATAAGAAAGTAAAAAATAATATATATAAATAAATAAAAACAAAAATAGAATATTAAAAAAATAAACATAGTAAATGGAGAAAAATTAATACATCTATACATATATATCTATACATATATATACAATGATATATATATAAAAAAAATATAATATAAAAAAAAGATGAATATAGTAACTAAATAAAAAATTATAATTAAAAATGTATATATAGGGGACGAAATTAATATAAAAGTAAAATTAAAAGGTAAATTTCAAGGTAAATTAAAGATTAAGATTGATTTAGGGGGAATATTAAATACTTTAAAAAATGAACATGCCTCGGGAGTAGATCTAGATTCGAAACTTCGAAACCCCACCCTTTTTTGGTCATCGACGCAACTCACGCTTTGGGTTATTCAAACCAAATATCAAGAAAAATAACATACACATGCGAGAAATGAACGAATCAATGTAAAAAAGATGCTACATTTTATTTCCTTTTCAAATCGTTTACAATAGTTTTCCTTTATATTTTTTCGTGCTTTCTTCTGTATTTTGTATGTAAATCGTTGTGTTACAAATGAGGAGGATTACATGTATTTATAGTGAAAAAAAACTAACTATTTTTAGAATCCTATTAACAATAGAATCATAATGCAACTAAACTCCTTGCTCGGTTGTTGCACGTTTGTTGGTGTGGTTGTTGCTTTAAAAGATACGGTAGTGGAAGTGTCCTCTTAGGAGATGAACTCTTGCTAGTTCTATCTTTTAAAAAAATGAGTGTCTACAATAGATTTTTGCATACACAAGAACTCGAAACATTGCTTAAGCGATATCAAGTTGCTTACCACTTGAACCAACCCTGTTGATACTATATTATATTTACTAAAACCATATATGAAATTATTTAATATATTTTCATTATTAGAATACAAAGAAATTCGGTATAACATATTCATATTATACTAATGATAAGTTACACTCCTAATTATTTAATTATTAATATATTTTTATTTTGAGCATTTAGCTGTTACATTTTTTTCAATTTCAGGATTAACCCTGAAACAGGCCGTCTACAAGCAAGTTATGTCCAGTTATAACTGAGATTCCTCACTAGCAAGGAAGACAACAGCATCGGCCACGTGCTTCACCTTCAATACTCCATCGTTTTTCAAGCGAAACATCCTCGAAAACATCGATTCTGTGTCCGCCGCTCCCATTCCGAGAGTTTCACAAAGAGCAGGCGTCTCCACTGGTCCCGGTGAAACGCAGTTAACGCGTATCCCATGCGGAGCTAACTGAGTACTGGCGCACCTCATCAAAGCGACGACCGAGCTCTTCGACATTACGTAATCCGTATTCCTGTCACTCGCAAGTCCAGCAGCTCTACTAGCCGTGCATATGATGCTTCCTCTACTATTGGCCTTCACCATGGCCTGCCCTGCATGCTTGATGCTGGCAGCAACCCCACCTACATTGACAGCAAAGAGCTTCTCGTAGGACGATAAGTCGAATTCGAGTATCGTCTGCATTGATTGGCTCAGAATTCCAGCGTTGCAAAACATAATATCCAGGCGACCGTGGAGTTGGATCGTGGATTGAACGAGGGATTCAACGTCTTGCTCCTTTGTTACATCGCAGTGGACATAGGTACATGCACAACGGTTCCCGATCGATGCAGCGAGTTCCTCACCCTTCTCGTCTTGGATGTCCGCGATCACGATGGCCCCTGCACTGTGGTCGACAAAGAGATGCACGGTGGCCTCGCCGATGCCGCTTGCACCGCCGGTGATAATGGCTACTTTGTCTTGTAGCTTCTTGTTGTTGGCTTTGGGGTCTGCCATTTTATGTGTTAGGAACCGTGAAAATGGTAAGTGTAATCACCATTTTTACCTCAATACAGCTGGTTCCTTCCTCCAATTAGCACCCGCCAATAGTTCCACATTCCAGCAGCTTCCAGCAACGACAGCTGGTTCTCCGCTCCACACAGCAACTGCCAACACCCCAACCAAGCCGTGGACTCCCCTTGCTCCACGTTTCAACAGCTTCAACAACGGCTGTCCCTCCACCTGTGGCTTCCAGCAGCTTCCAGTAGGAGCCAGCTGCCCCTCCTCGTTCTAGGTCAGCCACCCTTCTAGCTCAGCCGCCACGCCCGTTGACTCAAACGTTCCACGTCGCCGGCATCTCCACCCGTGGCCATCAATGCCCCACGTCAACGTTCAGCCCATTATAACAAACAAAAAATAGTGTAAATTTTATTTTATTTTACCTCCGAGCTTGTTGGACATTGTAGAGTTAGACACCAGAAAGAGGACAATGATGATATGCACAGCCCCTTCAAATTATTTCTAGCTAAGCTGTGGGAAAGAACAAAACCTTATCCTATTATTCTTCATGATAATTGTATTGGAACTCGTTCGATGTTGACTATATCTTAGGAATGGTAACGGGCGGGTTCGGGCCCGAAATGAATCTCTGTCCCTGCCCCGTTTCATGTCGGGTTTTTTATCAGAGTGCTCCGTCGGGAATTTTTTTGTCTCGTCCCTGAACCCGACCCGAAATATTGTATCTGAACTCGCCCCGATCCTGAAAGAAACCAAGCAGCCGTAGTTTTCATAAAAAATAGAAAAAAACAATCGCAAAAAATTGAAAATTAGTCTACATGATTTACAATTCAAACTACAGTCACAAATTCAAACTAAATTCTAAATAATTGTCTAAACTCTAAAATAAATCATATACATAGTTAAATACAAACTTGTTCCAATATTCAAATCATACAACTAAGATGTATACGTAATATTAAGTCAAATAAAGTCATCCAAATCATCGTGTCACTTTTGTCATTTTCTTTGGTAGCTCCCTACATTGAGAAATTTATCAATAAATCAACCAAAGTTTACTTTAATAATTATAAAAAGTTAGGGTTTAAGGTTTAAATGTTTAGGATTTAGGGTTTGTAATATATAATTAATATAAAATATATAAAATATTATATATATATATATAATCGGGGCGGGGCGGGGATACTTTGCCCCGAACCTAAAAAATTCCCGAATTTTACTTCGATACCCGACCCGATATTATTCAAACCTGACTCGAACTTAGTTGAGTTTCGGGTTTTCCGATCGGGTTCGGGTCATTCTGTCATTCCTACTATATCTGATCTAGTACGAGTAGTTGAGTTAAATTCAGATTTATTATAAAAACATCTTATTCGACCTAATATAATATTATAATTATGATTTATATAATTAAGAACAATTGTAATAATAAATTCAGATTTATTATAAAAACATCTTATTCGACCTAATATAATATTATAATTATGATTTATATAATTAAGAATAATTGTAATAATATTTTTTAGTTAAATCATTATTTTATTTAATAAAAATAAATTATATGTATTTAGATCTGGTCTAACTAAATTGGATGTAAATTTTAATATAAAAATTTGAATTGAATTTTGGATCAAATAAAATAAAAAATAATAATTTTCAAATGAATAAAAATTCAACTTACTTATCCGTTACCGTCGCTATTCTCTATACATTTCACAAACAAGTAAATGATGATTCCTAGTCCCATTAAAATGTAGTAATCAGTATTATGTCAGAATAGATGTATCATAAAAATATTAGTATTTGGAGTCTGCTCTTGTAGCATAAGTTGTTCTTTCTTTTTTGCTATTTACATAATAGGCAATGGAAGAGGATGTGACAAATTTGAATATTGTTGATGGCGAAGAGGAGGCCCACGGTTTTACAATTACAATAACGAGAAATTATGTATAACTTTTAATAATTAATGATTAATTATAGCATTGCAAACAGTATTTTCTTGATAGCCAAATGATTTAAAGGAAACACTTCATATATCATAGCATTGCAAACAGTATTTTATTATCGCGCAAAATATTAGCAAAAGTAAATATTATATTATAATATATTATTAGCGGTTTCTCATGCACATGATCTAAACATCTATGTGATTTTTAGTAGTAATTAGTAAAATTTATTACCCCTCTTCGTTTATGGTAACCAGTTTTGGAAGTTCTCTTTCCAAAAAACACCGTCTTAATCCATTTCCCTGGTGATTTTCCCATAACGCAAAGACCACGAGAAACTGAAAATACCTGTAATAGACTTTCAACATCATTCTATGTTGTAACAGCTTAAGAATACATTAACCCTAAATTCAAGAATCATTAAAAAATGTCAAACGACAACAGAAGCCACGCTTAACAAATTACAGTAAAATAAAAGTTCTACAAACAATTATAAACAAAAGGCAAAGCAAATTACTAGAATCAGCTAAGGATCCATTGATCTAACAATTTCTAAGCCAAATTGTATAAAAATAATAAATTAAATTCATTAGCCGTTACAGGTACGATGTACTGGTAGATGAAATCAAAAGAAAACAATATGGCGCCAAAATAAAATAAACAAAGGAAACATTTTACGACTAAATAATTTACACCAGATCTGATACTTACCTCGCAAATGCAATACTTTCGAAGTTCAAATCTATAGTTCCTGATTTTCAAAAACACCTTTGTTTTCCTTTGCTTTCTTCAAAATCAAATAAAAAAGAAAAGAAAAGAGAGAAAATGTAAATCAAAATTTACCGTGAGAAAGCTAGCGCATATCAGAGAGTAAGCTTACAAGCAAACTGGAAGATTTTCTATTTGTTTTGGGTTCGCTTTTGTTTTGCTCTGGTTTTGTATAGAGAGTGAGGGAAGTTCCAAAAATAACGATGGGTAATCTGGTACGTGCAGTTCCAGTGTAATGATTTTTCACTAGATTGATTTGAGCCGTTGGATGGTACCGACAGTGGATATTTGATCGTTGGGATTAAAGCAGATAGGAGTTGGCATAGGGGATGATTTTAAGATTTTGGGTTGCCTGGCCCACATTACGTTACTTCGGGTACTTCGGGAACGAACAAAGAAGCAACGACTCAGTTTTAGAAAGTGTCAATATAGAATTTGATACCTACATTTTATTCTAATGTTCAAATTAGTACTTTACTTTTATATAAATATATAATTTGACCAAATGATATAATGATATTTAAAATAGGTCTCTAGGTAAAATAATAATAATAATAATAATAATAATAATTAATTATGATTGTGGTTGGAATAAGTTTATGTTAACAATTCATCTTTTTTAATTTAGACAAAAAATTATAATTCTGGATAATGGCGTTTGGTTGATAATGAAAGTAGAGGGAAATAAGCAATATATTTGTGTAAATCAGAATTAAGAGGGAGTTTGTCTTATTTTCAATCGTGACGGATGAATATTTATATTATTTACTCTCAAATATTAGATATATAATTATTATGACTATATAGAGGTTAATATGCTAAAAAATATTAGTTGTCAGTTATTAGATTTTGTTATAATAGATTACATGGAACAAGTCATAAATCTAATCAGGACTGTAATCATCTAAAGATTATTGTATTTAAAAAAAATATTAGATTGAAATTAGAAAAAAAAGTATATACTAAATTAAACAATGAAATCAAAATTAAGTATTGAATGGTTTGAATCTAGATTGTTTAAAGAGTATAATATAATTTCATTACATCATATATTTGTTGGTGTATATATGAATATGAATATGTGCTGATATATAGTATAAATTATTATATATTTTATAAAATCTATCAGTTTATTTTACCTTGACGTGACTTATACTCAAATTACATTTTTATCCTCCACCTTGTTGCTATACGTGAAAGTTACTATTAATTGATAGCGGCAGATGCACGGGTGTAAGGCAATATATATATATAATTATGATATAGAATAATAATTTTATAAAAATTATGTAAATTTTATGATATTTATTAATCAAACTCATGATATCAATTATCGTATTTGATTTCAGATAATTCATTTTTCTCTTTTTTAAACAAAACCATTATGCTGTAAAATAATAAATGATTAATTTTTAAAATATAATTATTAATATATAATTTATTAATTAATTAATTTGATCAAATATTAAAAATGTATTATGAAATGATGCTATTAATCTATTTTCTCTATTTATATAGACTAATTTTATTATATATAAAATATAAATAAAAAGATTTTACTAATAAAACTACTATTTTCAGGTTGTTGTATATTAACATTTCACCTAACTCGATGAATATAGTTGTCAATCGCTACATTAAATTGATACAATGCTTTTAATTACAAATATTATATTAATTAATCTTAAAGAAGACCCATAAGTATTAGTTAGCAATAACAGAGCGAGACTGTTGATATTTGGTTTTCACGATCAACTAAATTGATAGATCATAATTTTATTTTTGTATAATTTTATAAATTGTTTTATATTAAATAGTTTATAATATGTTTGTTACATTGTAAGAGTTGATATCGATAATATAAATAATCCCATAAATAAAAGACTCAAATTTTACGTAAAATCCCTAATAAAAAAATACTTAAGGTAAAAAAGTTTAACGATACAAACGATTGATTTGAATGGCTTAAACAACTTTCACGTCTTAATGTTAATGTTAATTTTAATCTCTATTATCAAATATCGTTGAACTTTAGACGAGCTATTATTTATGCTATTGAACTTCCAAAATGCTCCAATTATAACACTTAATATGTTATTTTAGCTAATAAACTTTAGGGGTGAACCAATTTTATCACTGGACTTTTAAATTGGTTCACTTTTAGGCATTATATTTTTCCGATTACCATTGGCAATGAATCGTCGCTGTCATTGGTATCCATTCGTGATAAAATCGATATAAAAAACAAAATTGACATCAAAACATTCACATTTGATATCAATCATGTCACGAATGACAATCGATAACGTGTGACGATTGGTACCAACGACGGTTGGAAAAATTCAACGCCTAACACGAAATTTGTTCAAAATTTAATGGCAAAATCAATACACTTCTAAAGTTTAATGTCTAAAAATACGTCATGTTAGGCATAAATAACTGCGACAAAATGATATTGTTTTGTTCATGTATCACAGTGATAAAAAGATACATCCACATCATCGTATCATTAGAATTTAATGGTCCAGTGATATAATCGAAGTCAAAACTAAAATTTAGTATTATAATTAGAGAATTTGAAAGTTCAATGACATAAACAATATAATGCCTAAACTTCAGTGATATAGGGTAAAATTTTGTCATTTTATTTTCTCATTGCCTATAAAATTATCTTTTTCTTATCACCTACCGTCAAATGAGATTTTGACGTATTACCCCATTTTCTCCTTTCCCGATTATGATATTAGATGTTTTCCCACATATACCCTCATTGTCGGCAATTAATTACCAGTCCTATAAGAGAAATAACAACTTTAATTTGAATTTCTACAAATTTTTATTGTCCTAAAAGGTACATCAACAACCCTAAAGGAAAATTTTGTTTTTATTTGGAACCAACTACTCTCTCGGTAATGGTCTTGATGTGTGGGATCCCTCAACAAACATACATTTGTTAGCATTTAGTGCTATTTTTTTTCTTTGGGTAAACTACATTAGATAATCATTCAAGTACATTAAAATATTTTTTTGTCAACGAAATTTTAAATATTATAAAACAATCATCAATTTTATCAAATTGTTGCAAAAATAATTCTTATATGTTATAAAATGGTAATAGTTTTTTGGGGGTAAATTAAACGTTTAGTACCTCAACTACCACTTTTGTTCTGTTTTGATTACCCATTTTTTCTTCTTCAAAATCATACATAACGTTTAGTTTTGATTTCATTTTAGTCATACGTCATTAAAAATAACAGTGATGTTGATGTGACACCATATGATAATGCCACATCAGCAGTTCTACTAATTTTTAAATGGTGGGTGACCAAAATGTAACATTATATATGATTTGAAAAAAATAGTTGGGTGATCAAAACAGAACAAAAATGATAGTTGGAGTACTAAACATGTAGTTTACCCTATTTTTTTATAAGTTTAAAAACAAATTTATAATAATTCAAGAAGTATAAAAGATATTATATAATAATTTGATTTTTTATAATAATATTGTAAGTATATAAGAAATTTAATAATTATTTAATTTTTTTAAAAAAAATTATAGATTAAATTATTTTAATATGATTGAGTATTCTCTAATAATGTGATATAATTATAAGCCATATCTTCAATAAAAATATCATATCAATTTTAAGGAATTTACTTTTAGATATACTAAAGCCTTTTTCATGATTAAGAGATAATCTTAAATTTGATTACTAGAGTTTATAATTAGATGATGATAACTATGATGATGGTACTTTATGAAACTCTAATACATAATTTAAAGCTACAAGTGAAAAAACATTTGAAAGGCCTAATATGCAATAAATGTCTTATTTTTCTTGTACTAGGGGTCCATCAATCTCAATTTGATATTCTCATTTGATATCATTAACATGAGTTTCAAATAAACAACTATAACCATCAATTTGACACGAATTGAGTTATTTCAATCATTAAACGTTGGTGGTTATTTTTAGAGGCTTTGAGTTTGAGTATAACATTTATAAGAGTGTTTGAGCGTTCGTTGTCAACTGATTGAGAGTCTTTCAAATAGATGTTACCTTATAGTCACCCCAACTAGTCCAAGAAATTAACCAAATTATAATTAAAAAAAATGAAAAAATCATGTGTGTCATATGATAATAGTATATAAAAAATAATTAAATAAATTGATTTACCAATTAAAAAACTTAATTATTCAATATAAGAGTTTATTTTTCTTTCAAAATTCAAAAAACTAAAGACATCCTTAAATACGGACCAATAAGCTTGAAAAACCTATTAGGCCCAACCCAAGTTATGTACGCTATAAACTTCCTTTACTACTTCGGCCTTCATTGAGGCTCCATTGTACTCTCCATTCCCAAAACCCTACATCTTTTCACTGAAAACCCTTCATTCCTGTCGGTCTCTCTTATTCATTGATTTGAGCCCCTTCGTCAAGCTTAGCCTTGGGTCTCTCTCTATATTCACAAGGTCATCCCTTTAAAGGTAGTGTTTTTCCCTCCTTCTTTCTAAGTAACCTTTTGATTGCCTGTTTGGTGGCTCTCGTTAGTGATTCTCTTGTTTTCTTCTGCTCTTTTATTGTTTGTTTTAAGGGGCTGTTCATTTGTTCTCACGATGAGCTTGCTCGATATAATAACGAAGGCCTCAGCTAATACTGAGCCGCACAGTTCTCTAGCAGAGCACCCCATACTTCTAAACGCAGATGATATTCTCCTCAAATTAAAGCCTGAAGCTGAAAACCCCAATCCCACATCGCTTGTTAATCCCCTTACGGGCTGGGGAATCTCTCAAACTGATGCTAAACTCATTGAATTGAGTAAAAGTTTTATACCAAGTTAAATAGAAAGCTCAAAGACATCCATAACTTCATAGAGAAGAGTTTATTGGTATATTGACTCCATTATTGAGAAAATTAGGGAGAAAGGTGGGTTTTTTTTTTTATCGGGGTCGATTTAAACGATTCTGGTTATACTTCTGTTTTGCTTGAAAAAGTTGGGTCTTTGATTGGTAGAGATGTTTTGAGTTTGGTTTTGGAAGCTTGTATTAGTTTGGAAATTTGGGAATTGTTGGAGGTGTTGATTGTTAATGGCCTGATTGACCATTCTTGTTATTCGAATCTGATTATTAATATTTCTGCCAAGAAAAGGTCGGATTTGCTTTGTCTTTGCGTTAAACAAGCTCGCAATTTGGGTTCGGTTGAGTTGCTTAGCATATGAAATATTTTCTATGTCCACCTAAAGATGGCTATGCTAGTATGGTTAATGTGAGGAAGGAATGGGAGAGTCAAGCTTTGCTGGCTATTGAAAAGGCCAGACTCGGAAAGAAATCACAGTTGGCCAAGGAGGCTGCGATTTTGCTTATGGTTGCGCATGATGGGTTTTCGGATGCTGAGCTTTGTTTGCATTATTTGTTAGCTTCAAACAATGTCGATGAGGTGATATTGTCATCTTCACTAAGTAGGTTAGTCGGTAAAGAGTTGATGAATTTGATTCGGTACCTTGGGAAATGGTTGAAAAAGTATGAGAGGTTTCCTCAAGCCATTCCATATCCTAAGGCATCCTCTGTTTTGGGCTTGAAGATCTGTGATTGGGTGCCCAAGCTTGAAGATGTCGCAAAATGTCTTGGGTTTGTCGTGGATGAGAACTTCTCTTCTTTGATGTTACATCCCGAGTTCCATGAAGAACTCAAATCCATCGAGGGAGTTGTTAGTTCCCTTGCCTTTGAAGCAAAATTTTGTTGTTCAATGACAAATGTAATCGAGAAGTTGAGAGGAGATTTGCAGAGCTAGGAATTACGGTAACATTGCATAAACACACTCTTTTCCTATCATTTGTGATTTCCCGTGTCTAATATTGTGTTAACTAAACTCTTGTTTGTTTTGGATTGAATCGAAGTAATCTTTAATCTTTTTGTCTGTCATATTCAAATCTTGAGAGCTTGTGATTGCTTCATTTAGCGTCTATGTTTTGGCAAAATCATCTATCAGCAAGTTTGGAATTTTTTTTCTTGGAGCCTATGATACTTTTATTTAATTACCTGTAAATGTTTAATATCGACCAGAACCCTAGAGAAGTATGTAGGCATACATACGCAGGTAATTGCATCGGTTCCATGATTAGGTAATCTGCCATTTGTCTCTCGTCATCATAAAATACGACGTGATATGATCTCAATACGAAGTATCTTTCTAAGTTCATTTCAATTCCGTGCAAGGGAAGACAGGCAAAGCATGAGATTGAAGACACTTGTATTTACACCTATTGAATCAGATATAAGGAGTTCGATGCTCTTTAAATAAGTTATAGATTCGAGTTTGTGATTGGAAAAATAATACTACATAGCTTTGTCTGTCATTTAAGGAAGGTTTTTCTTTTTGTATATCTCGAGCCTAATCTAATTTGGACCAAACTCGTTCTGCCTTTTATTGGGTCTACGATTGGTCTGGTATCGTAGTAATTTAAATTTACTGATTCCGTCTAATATTAACTTTAGAAGCATCTGCTTATTTCATCTTCATATTTAAATCTTTTAAATTTTTTTTGAAGTTTCCCAATTTAATTACGAAACAAGTAGAGAATTTTGTACTTTATCTTTCTTTCAATGAAACAAGCAATCCACCCCCACAAGACAGAACATTTCAAGAATGGGATTTTAGGTTAAGAATATAATGAAAGAAAGCTTTACAAGAAAAGCTTTATGAATATAGACAAACCCAAAGTCTTTTATAAACGAAAAGCACAGTTTCAATCCTATAAAAACGATGAATCCATCAAGTTTTGTGTGTATGTCGACTGTTGTTTTATTTTCCAATTAGCAACGGTAAAAAAAGTATCAATTGAATATGTCGAACGCCAGAGATAGGCTGAGTCAACGGTGGCCGAGCCATATCGCCGAGAAGTTTGTTCCCACATCGTACTGGACTGAGGATTCCGAGGGCAATTATTTGCTTGACATTGACCTTCCTGGTATTAAACCAACCGATCTATTTCCGTTGGTTCATCACTTTTTCTTTTAAATTTCTGTTTTAGGAAATCGATTTAACCAAACTTATTTAATATTAACCGGTTCGGTCGGTTAAGTAGTTAACCGATTTTTTTGTTGGGTCTAAATAATTTAGGGTTCGAACATGATGAGGTGAGAATAGAGCAAGAGTCAGCTGGTTACATAAAGGTCGAAGGAGAAAGGATACCTGATGAAAACAGGTGCATATACATCGACCAAACCTTCCGGTTACCAGAGAATTCAGACACCGAAAACATCCTAGGCAATTTCGACGGTCAACATCTGTGCATTACTGTTCCAAAGAAAATCATCCGGAATACTGTAGATCAGAGTTCACACAAAAAAGAGGAAGACCGCGAAAACGACAGAGATAGAAGAGATATTGAAACGAAAAATGAACGCGAAGAAGGTATCAAGAGCAGCAGTGACCGAACATGTTGTGTTCCGAGTTCAAAGAAACCCGAAGGTAAATACAGTTTGTTATCGGTTATACTCGATGGTGTTGAGCGGAATAAGGGGATTGTTCTTTCGGCTTGTATATCGTTTGCCATTGGGGTGTGGGTGTCCCAGCTTTGGGTCTAAGTATTGTTTGCATTGTTCTTAAATACGTATCAGCGCATACGTAAATCGTCTCTCGTATGTATATACATTCCTGTGTACGTGCATGTGTATACTTGTAATAAACATATTGGCTTTAAAATATATAAGGGGTTCCACCAACTAGTTTGGTGTCTTTATTGGCTTGCCAAAGAAGCAATAAGTTGTCTTAATTTACCAAGTAAAACTATCTTTTTAAGTCCAAATAAGTGCATAAATCTACAAATGCTGAAAGAGCTCAATTCAATTTAATTGAAAAGAAAAACCATCCAAATATCGTTTGTTTCGGTTAGTTTACTATCAACACAAAATGAATATCCGGTCGTTGATTAAAGCCAACTAAAACGCAGTGGTCGTGGCTGGCCACATTCTCCGGGCTAACTACCGACTTGATCATCATCAGGTCCTGCAACAGCTTCCCAAATTGGAATCTGTCAGTACAAACTACAACCAATAGTAGCACTAAACAAAAATGCAGGGAGAGTCCAGCTATCATTGCAAAGAAATGCTTACCTTGTTTTGATCCTTTTAGACGCTTCGAAGCTGTTTCTGCAGCTACAAACTATCGTGGCCTCTTCTGCGACTCCTCCTCTAAAAGTCCCAAAGCATACATATATCTAATTATCTGCATATCCTGCTGGCTTCCAGCAAGTTTTTTCAAGAAACCTGTGAAACAAGTAACAGAAGTTAACACCCATATTGGACCTCCTGACACAAAAGAACAGTAAACTACTACCAAGCCTCATTCCAGGATCATGGCCTCGGGTTTATTAAGAATGAAGCAATTGCATATAGATAAGAGAAGGTAAATGGTTTTATAGACTTTACAATGAATCTTATCTTCCAAACCAAGAGCCTTAAATATTTCCGTATTTTGAATATGTCGAGCAACAAACACCAAAACACCGAGAAGCTTGTTGGCATCGAATGCATAGGCCAATCGAAAGAGGCTAAAAACCACAGGAATCCCAAGACCTCCAATTCATGGCCGGATTCAACTTTCAATTTTGTTTCCCAATCAAAGGCAAGAATTACAGCATTTTCTCTAACATGAGGCTTAATCTCGGGTGAAAGTTCCATCAATTGCTCTAACAAGAGAATACAACTTCTTCTGGCAACTTCTCCTTCGAACTCTCTGTCTCCCTTGCACAAATGTGGTGGGTAAAACCCCTCCATTGCATCCAAGACAAGCTTTCCAGGGTCTCCTGAACGTTGAAGGGCCATAGCAACTTCAGTACCGATTGAACTGTGGTCTTTCCAGCCCTCATTTAGGAACATCTGCAAATTCTTTCCATCCATATTTACACAAAACTGAAGATGTGCTTGTGAAGAATGATCGACGGACAAAATGTTTGCTGCTTCAGCTTTCACTCCAGGATGCAGGGCAGAAGAAAGACTCCTCTTTTTTTAAAGTTCTTTAGCCCATTCCACAAGTTCCTTCTTTGATTCGAAATCTTTGAACCTCTGGTCACACCTTTTCACATCAAACTCAAGATCACTGGACTGTTTCTCATTCTATCTCCTTTGTTTTGAAGATAATTCTTCAATCTTCTTCTCTCTTAGTTCGACTTTTCTCAAACATTCATCATAATGCTTCGCGTTTAATTCGACAGCCAGATAACATAGCTCAAGACTTCTTTCTTTTAACTCAACATCTTTACGGCGTCTCATTCATCGTGAAGTTGAGCATTGACTTGAATATTCTTCATCGTGAAGTTAAAATCCAAGTATTGTATGTTACGGGTGGACACGATTCCCTTCGCCGTGAAGATAAAACCGTGGATGACCCCTTTATTGTGAAGTTTGGCTTCGAGTTAGATATTTTCCATCGTGAAGTTGAAATCTACTCTCGAGCAAATTGTGTCGCTTTGAGTTCAATATCCTTCGCCGCGAAGTTGAAATTGACTCTAGCTAAACCTGAAAAGTTATGCATATATGTGATGCTATGGATGCAATGCTCTTATGTGTGCCTAAAATGCATATGCAACATATGTTATCTTGGGGCTCTGGAGAGAAATCTCGATCTTCGATTGCCTGTCTGGAATCTTGATTCTTGAATCTTTAAGTTCTGATCCCTGATTTTAAATTCTTCAAATATTCAAATCTGATGTGCACATTCTATTTTTGATTTGAGAAATGCTTCTCGACCATCTCAAGTACGTGTCTGAGCTGAGTGTAATGGTTCAGATGATGTTTCAAGAGAAGTTGTCTTGAAAGAGATAGAATTCGTTTCAAGGGAAACAATCTTGTTGTTTCATGAAAACGGTCTCAAGGGAAACAAAATTTTGTTTTAAGGGAAATAAATTTGAAGATTGTGTTTCAAGAGAAACTGTCTCAAGGGAGACAAAATTTATTTTAGGGGAAATAAATTCAAAGATTTTGTTTCAAGGGAAACTGTCTCAAGAGAGACGAAATTTGTTTCAAGAGAAACTGTCTCAAGAGAGACAAATTTAGTTCCAAAAGAAACTGTCTTAAGGGAGATGAAATTTGTTTCAAATAAAACATATTCAAATAATTTGTTTCAAGGGAAACTGTCTCAAGAGAGACAAAATTTGTTTCAAGGGAAATGTTTTCAATGTTTATGTTTCAAGAAAAACTATCTCAAGGGAGGTAAATTTTGTTTCAAGGGAAACTATCTCAAGAGAGACAAAATTCATTTCAAGGGAAATGTTTTCAATGTTTATGTTTCAAGAGAAACTGTCTCAAGGGAGACAAAATTTTGTTTCAAGGGAAACTATCTCAAGTGAGATAAAATATTCTTTTTAAAAACAGTCTTGAATGAAATGCCTTCTTTCGAGTGAAACAGTCTCAAGTGAGACAAAGTCTGTTTTAAGAAAGAAATCTCAAGTGAGATAATCATCTACATTAAATGAGACTATTTCAAGCGAGACAAAATTTATATTGGAAATGTTGAATCTGAAGATGAATGTTGATCTTTCAATCTGTCGAGTTGGTTGAAGTGTGACTTCTTGCTGCTGAGTTAAGCAACCACCATCGATTTTTACAAACTCTTTTGAATCAAGTATCTTTTGTCTTGAAGTTGAAACTTGACTCTAAAGATGTGGAGGAAAAGCCTTCGGAAGATCTGATCGTTTGCATCAGGATTTTGAATCTCCAGAGATGCCCCAATATTCAATGTTGAATCTCCAAAAATGCCCCAACATTAAAAGTGCCCCTATTGTTCCTTATTTCTTGCTTCAACATTAATTCTAAGCATGACATTACTGTCTAAGAGCCATATGTCATTTACCAAGATCCACTTTAGAGAGATTGTCTTGTTTGAAAAAATGTTTCTCTTTTATTTTCAAAATTCTGAAAATATCAATTAAAAGAGTTTCGAAAAATGTTTAATCATAAGTTTTGAAAATATTGCCCCTTTCACGGTTTTACAATTGAGAGCCATATGTCATTTACCAAGATCCACTTTAGAGAGATTGTCTTGTTTGAAAAAATGTTTCTCTTTTATTTTCAAAATTCTGAAAATATCAATTAAAAGAGTTTCGAAAAATGTTTAATCAGAAGTTTTGAAAATATTGCCCCTTTCACGGTTTTACAATTGAGACGAATCATAAAAATAGAATATTAAGAAAAAATATAAACATAGTAAATGGAGAAAAATTAATACATCTATACATATATATATCTATACATATATATATATACAATGATATAAGATATATATAATAAAAAAATATAATATAAAAAAAAGATGAATATAGTAACTAAATAAAAAATTATAATTAAAAATGTATATATAGGGGACGAAATTAATATAAAAGTAAAATTAAAAGGTAAATTTCAAGGTAAATTAAAGATTAAGATTGATTTAGGGGGAATATTAAATACTTTAAAAAAATGAACATGCCTCGGGAGTAGATCTAGATTCGAAACTTCGAAACCCCACCCTTTTTTGGTCATCGACGCAACTCACGCTTTGGGTTATTCAAACCAAATATCAAGAAAAATAACATACACATGCGAGAAATGAACGAATCAATGTAAAAAAGATGCTACATTTTATTTCCTTTTCAAATCGTTTACAATAGTTTTCCTTTATATTTTTTCGTGCTTTCTTCTGTATTTTGTATGTAAATCGTTGTGTTACAAATGAGGAGGATTACATGTATTTATAGTGAAAAAAAACTAACTATTTTTAGAATCCTATTAACAATAGAATCATAATGCAACTAAACTCCTTGCTCGGTTGTTGCACGTTTGTTGGTGTGGTTGTTGCTTTAAAAGATACGGTAGTGGAAGTGTCCTCTTAGGAGATGAACTCTTGCTAGTTCTATCTTTTAAAAAAATGAGTGTCTACAATAGATTTTTGCATACACAAGAACTCGAAACATTGCTTAAGCGATATCAAGTTGCTTACCACTTGAACCAACCCTGTTGATACTATATTATATTTACTAAAACCATATATGAAATTATTTAATATATTTTCATTATTAGAATACAAAGAAATTCGGTATAACATATTCATATTATACTAATGATAAGTTACACTCCTAATTATTTAATTATTAATATATTTTTATTTTGAGCATTTAGCTGTTACATTTTTTTCAATTTCAGGATTAACCCTGAAACAGGCCGTCTACAAGCAAGTTATGTCCAGTTATAAACTGAGATTCCTCACTAGCAAGGAAGACAACAGCATCGGCCACGTGCTTCACCTTCAATACTCCATCGTTTTTCAAGCGAAACATCCTCGAAAACATCGATTCTGTGTCCGCCGCTCCCATTCCGAGAGTTTCACAAAGAGCAGGCGTCTCCACTGGTCCCGGTGAAACGCAGTTAACGCGTATCCCATGCGGAGCTAACTGAGTACTGGCGCACCTCATCAAAGCGACGACCGAGCTCTTCGACATTACGTAATCCGTATTCCTGTCACTCGCAAGTCCAGCAGCTCTACTAGCCGTGCATATGATGCTTCCTCTACTATTGGCCTTCACCATGGCCTGCCCTGCATGCTTGATGCTGGCAGCAACCCCACCTACATTGACAGCAAAGAGCTTCTCGTAGGACGATAAGTCGAATTCGAGTATCGTCTGCATTGATTGGCTCAGAATTCCAGCGTTGCAAAACATAATATCCAGGCGACCGTGGAGTTGGATCGTGGATTGAACGAGGGATTCAACGTCTTGCTCCTTTGTTACATCGCAGTGGACATAGGTACATGCACAACGGTTCCCGATCGATGCAGCGAGTTCCTCACCCTTCTCGTCTTGGATGTCCGCGATCACGATGGCCCCTGCACTGTGGTCGACAAAGAGATGCACGGTGGCCTCGCCGATGCCGCTTGCACCGCCGGT